ATTCCTCTTCCATATTCTCTGTTTCACTATCACCGTCGTCATTTAAATCAATAATGAATTTATTTCCACCATTAATATGAAAGTGTCCAATCTCCATATACTTAGTCTTTTTCAACTAAGTTCACTTTTTCAATTCTTTTCTGTCAGTCTTCTTCTGTATCCAATTCTGAAGAGTTTTGTCACTGCAGCTCACGTTATGGCCGGAAGTATTCAATTCCTTTCTTATGATTTCAGTTGTAGGAATCTCATTGCTTTTGTGTATTGTTTTTTCCAATGATTTTATTGAATTAACATCTAAATGTTTGGGTAATCCTGTATCACATCGCGTCTTACTTTCATAAGGTTTGTTTTTTACTATCTTTACGTACAGGTGAGAAAGGAATTTCGGTCAAATCACATGTTGTTTTTAATAGTTTGTTTCCCTTGAAACCAAACTTGAGATGTAGATTCTTATATATATATTGAAACATACTGTCTGAGTTTCAATATTCAAATGCATGCGAATTTTATTCACTGGTATCTCTTTTTCGCATCATTCCCCATCGCTATTGGAATCACTACACTGGAAAAAGTCTGCATTGTTATCACACTCGTTATTATTATTAGTTCTTGTCCAAGGACGCCACATTCTGAACAGATAACAAAAATTTTAAGTAATTACAACTGTACCAATATCAAATTTCAACACTCAAATCGCGATCAGTGCCTGGACTGAAGAATGATGGCACGACGGCGACAACCATCTCCGCATTCCCCGATATCTATTCGTCACCGACTTCAAATTCGTCATGACTTCAAATTCAATTTTGTGAGCCTTCAGCCAATCATAAAACTCGGTTAGTAAAAATTATCCAATACGAATCGCCAATTCTACAATACACGTGGACTAGTTCGCAGCCGGTTCATTTCTATGTATTCGTTTTTATGGCCTTTGAGAGTGCAGCCAACTTTGAGTATGCACAATATCGTTTACTTCGATTATGAATTGTTTTGATCTACCTCGTGAGGTTCAGCCAGCGTTTGCAATGTAAGCGCAAAAAATGTGTTTATTTACGACATAACATTAGAAACCTAAAAAATTATCAGTGTTTCTCTGCTATATTATGCATGTTATATGTATACATATAAACCTACCTATGGAATCACTCTATGGTGATGGTGCAGCCAGGAAACGACTGAGTCGTCTCCTCAAGAGCGGGGTACCTTATATAACCGTCTTGCACCCAATTCTTGACGACGTATGCAGAATCTGTCTCAGGTGGGGGAAACCCCCCCCCCCATGAGCAGGTTAGCAAACTTTTGCGCTCAAGTGATGATTCACCAAAACCAGAGGCGAATAAGCCTTGCACGGCTGAATCTAAGGCATCGTCAGGTATAGATGACGTGCAAAAACCCTCATATGGGAAAGTTGTCGTAGGTATCATGGTGGGAATCTTACAACTTGACTATCCGACTACCTCATTAATAGAGCATATACTTTGTGGCTGCCCCGCTGGGTACCGAATCAGATTTTTAGAGGTAGGCAGAGCCGTACTCTTACCATCTGACCTGAAAGACAACTCACCATACAAACTAATCGGATTCGTTAAGAAGCTGGGTTCATTTGGCCGAATGTGAATAGGTGTGCGCCACAATAAACCCTTGCGGGTTGCGATGGAGGGTCGAATAGACCCACTCACTTAGGACCTAACCCAACCTGTCCTACATCTGTACTTGTGTCATCATCATTCTGATGAAATGCTTGGAACTCGTTTAACTACATGGATAAAAAACAACTCACTATCCTTCCGTTTTCACAACCGTCAAAAAATTTGAACAAAACCCGATCTTACTGTGAATGATATACCAGTTTCCAAATCTGTTACCCGTATCAAGTTCTTAGGAATGTGCGTTGATACACATCTCGATTGGAAAGTACATTATTCGAGTCTGATATCAGCGCTTCATTCGCAGTGCTATCTTTTCAAAAGTTTGAGAACGGTACTTACAAATTATTATTAATATATCAAAATTCTGTTAGTTTTTATACCAGCTGTATTTCAAAATATAATAATTAGTCGAAGGGGACTAAATATATATCAATTCAAGATAAAAGCAAACGGATCATATATCAACAAAACTGAAATGGTGGTGACATTATTCCCAAGAATATCGCATATATAAATGATTTGTCTAAGATCTTCCAAATTTCATCACTTGAAAGAAGCGATTTGAAAGATCTCTCCATCCCAGAGTAATGGAAAAGTTATTCAATGGTGGGTCTGTTTCAAAAAGTATTTATGTAGTTTATATTTACAATTCATCATGACTTCTAATTACATTTGAGGTGAAATAGATAATGATTTTTGCCTTATTTTCATTTTGATGTCTATAAAAAAATTTGCCAACTTATGCCCTGTATATCAGACGGCCTGAAATCAGTGTTACATTCAAAGTTTATTCCAATCTCACGTCATTAGGTGACAAGTAATGTCAATAAGTCAAAACCCCATTTTGGTGTCAAAATCATCAATTTATCCATTTTTCAAAATAGTAGTATGAAATGATTCAGATTTAAAAAAATATGGAATTTTCTCATAGTTTTCATCATAATGGTCACTGAAACTGACAACGCTAAAAAAATTAAGGTAATCTCGAATGCAACACTATGCAAGTTGAAAATTGAAACGAATTGATTTTAGGCGCCTTCAAGTAAAAAAAATGCGAAAAATGAATGTTTGGGCTGCGATAAGTTGCAGAGAAAAATCAAAGAAAACGAACACACCGTCTCAGCAAGAGATGTTCTTATTGAAATGTCACAGAAAGAAATACAAAAACTGCAAACTCTTTATAAAAATTCCATTGATGAATACGAGAATTTGAGATTCACGTATTGTTCTATAGTTCAAGACTATACCAACTTGAAAGAAATTCATAAAAAGGTAGAAAACGTTGTTATCAAATGCAATCAATTTTCTACTCAAACTTAAAAATCATTATTCAAACTTCAGTTAGATTGTCAGTGGAATAAAGTATCTCAAATCAACCCATAAATCATTCAGGAATTGTAGGTATTACTGAAAAGTCTCATAAAAAAATAATAATTGGAAAATATGCTTCCTGAATATTTTTCATTACTTTTCGGAAAGTTCATAAAAGTAAAATCATCGGATTTTCGAGAAATCCACCTACTTCTAACACTAAAATAAATAGTTGAAACTCCCATAAAAATATTACGTCAGTTTTTGAAAAAAGTACAGTTTCAAATGATGTGTTATTCAATCTCCTAAATATATCTGAATGATGATAAATCAATTGGAGTAGTAGTGATTGTGTTTCGATTTTTGATGATTTTTTTAAAAATCATGACTTGATTATTTTCCTTGATCCTTTTCGAACTGAAAGGATCACTTCAACACTGTTGAACTCTCCTTCATAGTCATGGGATGGTCGTCCTCAGACATGATTTGGACTTATATTCGAAAATCAAGAGAAAGTATGCAATTATTTGTATCAAAAATTAATGGTGTTTCTATGATGGTTCCTGATTGGAGCACAATTTGTATTACCAGCAGGATGGAATGTCCCAGATTTTTGGAGCATATTTCAACGATAAATGGATAGAAACATATTCAATAACCACCCAGTTCTTCTAATCTAACCTCTTCCAGCGTTCCCCTGTGAAAAACATTATTCTTCAACTTCCTCATCAGCAATTTTTGGATGTCATTGAAATCAATTTTGTAATTGTAACTGTTTTCAGCTGGAAGAAGAACAAAAAAAGTCCCTGAAACAAACAGATTTGGAAACCTTGGAGTCTGAACTAGATTACTGGAGAAATCAGTTAAGTATTTTTCTTTTTTATCGATTTAGAATAAAGCATCATCAATTCCAGTTTTCAGATATGAAAAACTCCAAAAACATAAGCACACATGCAATTGTGCCAATAAAGATAAATGTTCAGACAGGAAAACTCAGGTGGATTTATTGAACATTCAAAATATCTTGCAGTATCAAAATCAGTCTGTAAAGTTATTATTGTCAAAATTCTTGGAGGAACTGAAAGAAACAAAAGTCGAACAGAAGACAGATAAGAGCTGTCAGACAACATGTGCAGCAACTGAAAATTCCGAGGAAAATTTAAAAAAACAAATTGATAACTTGAACAGTTTAGTGGATAAGCTCACAATAGAAAATACAAAAATTAAAGAAAATCTCAATGAAAAACAAACAAATCTGTTCAAGTGTTTGAATGTTTTGGAGAAGAACCACTCGGATATTGGGAACCTATCGGGGCATATTGAAAATATTTGCAGCGAAAGGGATAAATGTACTCATGCAATTGAAGAAAAAGATAAAGAAATATGTAGGCTGAAACGTGAGTTGAATCAGTTCAAAAAATCAATAGATGACATCGAAGATTTGCGACTGGAAAAAGAAAGATACCTCCAAGAAAACAAGAAACTGAGGAACGTAATCGATACTTTCAGAGCCGAAACTGAAGAGAAAGAGAAAATTATCGATGAAGTTGATAAAGAGAAAAATAATCTGAATGAAGAGCTAGGACAACTCAGAAGAATGACAGAGGATTTACAAAAAGAAATTGGGGAAAAAGCACATCCAAACCTGGTTGAAGAAATGAAACGTGAAATCGAAATGTTGAGAAATGAAAATGAAGGTTATGCTGAGGAAATGGAGAAAATTAACAGTGATAGAAAAGATAAAGAACAATTGATAGAAGACCTAAATGAAATAATTCAATTTCACAAAGAGGAGATCAAGAAATTGAGATATGAGATCGACATATTTGCAAACAAAGCCAAAGGGAGAGGAAAAGCTTCCCAAAATACTAATGATGATGATGATGATGATGATGATGATGATGATAATGATGATGATGATGATAATGATGATGAGGTTGGTGATGAGAAATCTGATGAAATGCAGGAATTGAAAAAGAAGTATAAGCAATTACAACAGGAAATGCTTTTAGAGGTTGAGAAACATAACGAGGTTGTGAATGATTTGCAGAATACAATAGATGAGCTCAAGGAAAATGTTAACGATTTAGGTGAGACCCTCACAATCATCACTGAGGAAAATAAATCAAATCTAAATACCATTGAGGATTTGCGAAAACATCTGAAAGAAACACAGGAGATTCAGGAAAAAGTAGAATGTGAATGCAAATACGAAATTAAAGAATTGAAAAATGAGATTGATGATCTCAATAATCAGTTGAATGATTTAAAATCCCAGCAAAATACTGAAATTGAAAAAATCACTGATTACTGTCCCTCCTCTGATAAAGAAACTGTGGACCTTCAAGGAAAAATAACATCTTTAGAAAAAGACTTGGAAAATGCTAATTTAGAAATAGTAGAGTATGAGGAAGAAAATAAAGCATGTAAGCAGAAACTGGAAACAATGATGAAAGAAATCACTTACTTGCAAGAGGAGAAAATGAGAGTTGTAGATGACAGTTGTGAAGGATTGAACAAATTGAAGGAAGAATATTCAAAGACATTGTCTGAAAAAGATGAGGAAATTGTCGAACTCCAGAAGGAAATCAGTAAGCTTGTTAATGAATCAGGAGATCATTTAGAAATAAATTCCAAAGTCTCAAAACTACAAGGCGATCTGAAAATAATGGAACAGGAAAAATCACGACTTGAATCAGAAAAAACCGATCTCATTGGAAAAATCATAAAATTGGAAAGTGAGCTTGAGAGAACTCTTGAGGAGACTGACAGCAGATTTTCATCTCTAGAACATAAACTGAACTGTCTGGAAAAACACGATGATGAAATCAAGAAGAAACTAATGTGCTGCTGTGACGAAATGTCCAAAATGGAAGCAACTTTAAGAACAAACAAAAAATCTCAAGATTGTAATATTAAAGATATTGGAATACAATGTATGATGGAAGATTCAGATATAGGTAAATTAAAGAATACAAATGACGACCAATCACAAGAAATTGAGAATCTCAAAAGTATGCTTGACAGCTATCAAAAACGTCTGGAAACTTGCGATTGTGATACTTACCAAAGTGTAGACTTGAACAAAGAAAATGAAGAATTAAGAACAAAGTTAAGAGAATTTGAGGATTTCATAAAATTAAATGAAGAACTTACAAAAAAAGTTGTGAATTTAGAGGACGAACTGTGCAGAAAGGAATGTATGATTATGAGTTTAGAGAAATGTATTGATAAGAGTAACAGTATCTTGGGAGACTGTGAGGATGAAATTAAGAGGATAAACGCTGAAAACCTGACCCTGAAAAACGATCTAGGAGTCATGAAAGCCAATATGGAAAAATTGAATTGTGAAATTGATGTTCACAAAGCAGATAAAGATATTTTACAGGAAAAAGTCCATCAAAGTCGTAAGCAAAGCGAACAGCTGGAAGCAGAAAACTCCAAATTATTAAAAAAGACTGGCGAGGACCAGAAAATGATCGGGGATAAAATCTCTGTTCTCCAGCAGAAATATAATAAATTACTGGAGGAAAGTGAGGTCAAAGATATAGAGTTGGATAAACTCAAAAAGCAGTTTGAAGTCTTGCAGAGCTGTTGCAAGTCACCAAGTATCACCAAAGAAGAATTCCAGAAAATGAAAAAAGTTTCTAAAGAAATCAAAGAGCTTCTGATGGAACAAGCAAAGAAAATTAACGAAAATACATTGAAGACAGCTGAGAAAGCCGATGAGGAAGAAAGAGCATGTTTCGTCAAGAAATACGTTTCTGAGTTAGAGGAGAAAATCAATAAAAAAGAAGCTGATTTGAAGTGTTTGGAAAGTAATAACAACAGTATGAAAGCGGAGATTTTGGATTTGAAGCAAAATATTCACAAGATGATGTTGGAAAATATCAACTTGAAAAAGGAAACCACGAATTTACTGAATACTGTGATACACAAAGTTAGACTCATCACTACAAGTGAGGAAAATATAGATACTGAAACATTGAAGGATTCAGCAGCAACGGGTGTACTCAATTCCCTTCTGGAATTGGAAAAGGGTATGTTGGAAGATACGAAACCTAATGCCTGTCCCATATCTAGTTGTAACTGCATGTCGGTGATAAGCGCAAAATATAGTTTCCAAGGAAGGGACGAGCTCTTGATGAAGTCGACTAAGTGTCTTGGTCCTTGTGCAAAAAATGCAAATAGCTGTATAGTTCTGAAATCAGCTTCTGAAAATAAGCAAAATAAAATCGATTCAAGAACGAAAATCACCATATCTGCAGATTTTTCTGTAAAAAAGTCCAATGTTGATCTGGAGCCTTCAAGTGAATATACTTTCGAACCTTCTAAATCAATATATGGGTGTATGCAAGCAATAACCAATGCCTACGGTCTCTCCTACGAGGAAAAGGAAAGTAAACCAAAAAAAGAGTCGAATACGAAGAAAGGGGATTTAGTATCCAGTTCATCCCCTAACAGTTCCTTCAGTTGTGATGCAAAATGTATATTTGTAGATTTTGATTCACATACAGGGTGTTTCAAATTCGACCTCACGTTTGGGATTTTGGAAACTATGAGATATACGAAGACGGTTGAATCTAGGAAAAGTTGCGCATTTTCCTAACTAACAATATGCCGTTGAGAAAGTTCTGAAATTTCGAGTATATCCTGAGATATCCGGAAAAAACAGAAGTTTCACAAAATAATTTTTATTTTTTTCTGACTTACTTGCACTCACACATTGCCACTTTTTCCCTGCTCCATTATGGTTTTTTAAGATTAGCTATCCGACGTTTCGTCTTCCGGCCACCATTATCAACTTAATTTTTTCTTATGGGCGCTTTCTGTTTTAAATCATTCTTTTTCGAAAAATTGAAGATATTGAAAAAAATAATTCTTATCATAATAGGCTTTGACTTTGATGTTTCTAAATTCGACTTTTAATTTGTTACACTCAATGACATTTTGTTATTGTACAATTCATTGAATTTTTGGAAAAAAACTTCCTTTCACGAATGAAGAAAAAAGGTATATAATACAAATTTATGGAAATGATACATCATTGAAAAGGTAAAATCTCGTTCTATTCAAAACAGAAAGAATCCAATGGAGCGCCCGTAAGAAAAAATAAAGTAGATGATGGTGGCCGGAAGACTTAACGTCGGATAGCAATTCTAAAGAAAACATTATGTAGCAGGAAAAAAGTGACAATGTGAAAGTGCAAGTCATTTTCGAATGTTTCGAAAAATAAAGCCAGAAAAAAATAAATCCGAAATTTCAGTTGTATCCGGATATCTCCGTATAGGTATACTCGGAATTTCAGAACTTTCTCAACAACAATTGTTGCATTTCATTAGGTCGGACTTCCATTGTCTAATATGATATAAATTGATTTGAAATCCCTGAAAGAATCTGTGAAAAATTAAAAAGGTTAGCTGAAAAATAACAATTATATTGAGCAAAAGAAAGTGAAATTACAATGAAATGAAATACAAGCAACAACCAAAAAATAAAAAAATACTGAACTATCAACACGAAATGAAACTTGAAAAAAAGTATTAAAAAGAAATGAAACTTGGAAATTAAAAGATTCCAAACCAAGTTACTTCGCGATGTTTCGATTGTTAGTATCCACAATCTAACCGTTTGGCGGGAATTGGTCGTGTTCCGCTAGATCAGAGGTTTCCATATGTTGCGTATCTCTACGCTAGCTTGGCTACATGCGTTGTTGGACAGCATATATGCGGCTTCTTTGAATTTTCTCCTGAACTAGTGTTCCTCCTTGTGGATGATTCCAGCTTGAGCCAACTTGATGTTATTTTGATGAGTCCAAACATGCTTTGCTATTTCTCCTGATTTCTGCTGATTTCTCCTCGCTGTGTGTGTTTCTTATACTCGGCAATGCGAACTTTCAATGCCCTCTTAGTTTCACCGATATATGATTCTCCGCACTCGCAGGGTATACGGTGAATGCAATTCTTGGAATCGCAGTCCTCGTTTGGGGGCTTGGTGAGGCTACCAAACGCGGGAGTGTTCTCAGATCTGAAACAGATTCTGATGTTATACTTGGACCCAATCCTACTTATCCTCTTCGACAATCCTCTGATGTAGAGAAGTATAAGTATTGGTTGTGGCGACTTCTCTCTCTTGTGGAGCTCTTGCTGTTTTCTAGCTAAAACATGTTCCAACATCACTTTAGAGTAACCATTCCATGGGATGTCAGTTTTTATGATGCCTAGTTCCTTTTAGATACCTTTCTTTGTATTACAGAGCCCGAAAGCACGGTCTGGTAGAGTCTTGATGATTTCTCTCTTAGTCGATTGATGGTGGTTGGATTCCTAGTTCAGATACTGTCCTGTGAGGGTGAATATTCGATATACAGATGTTTCCCATTTAGTGTCGGTCCTCTTCACCAATACGTCTAAGAATGGCAATTCTTTGTGAACTCTCTTCTCAATTGTGAAATTTATGGAAAGAACTTACCTTGTTGATGTGCTTCAGGAAGGTTAAGTCCAGTTATTATCCGAAGACGATACTAACAATTGAAGCGTTGTGAAGTGACTTGATTTGGAATCTCTTTTTTTTATTTTTATCTCGTGTTAATAGTTCACTTTTTTTTATTTTTTGGTTGTTGCTTGTATTTTATTTCAATATAATTTTTTTTTTTTNGAACCAGCTCATTATACCATTCATAATTTTTTGTGATAACGGAATCAGAAATTATCAAGGAATTGTGGTCAGGAGGTTCATGTGATAGAGTAATTAACACAGTCTACTTTGAAAAACAGATTCAAAGATTTCCCCTTATGGGTTCCACCCATCAAGATGCCGACGAATTCCTTTGATATCTTTTAGAAAGTTTACATCAGGACCTCAACAGAATTACTGAGAAACCTGAACCAATCTTAACGGAGATTGACGAAAAATTGAGCAACAGCGCAAAAAGCCAAGAGTCCTGGCTGAGATATTTGAATATGAACAAATCTAAGATGGTGGACATTTCCGTTGGTCAATTAAAATTCACTATGAAGTGCATACACTGTAGACACTCATCAGTAACCTTCGATACTTTCTGGCCAATTGAGTTCATCACATTGCTTGGATTCCTTCACAATGGAAAACCAAAGTGTTCGAGGTGCAAAGAAAGAAGAAAATGTACAAAGTCCCTATCAATCTATAAGTGTCCCCCTATTTTGGTAATTAATTTGAAAAGATTCTCTCCAACGAGAAGATTCAGAGACAAATTGAATGTTGCCATTGACTTTTCTTGAGAAGGATTAGATATGAGCAATTATGAAGCAGGCAATATGGCTCCTTGTCGCTAGATGCACTTTCGAATTACAGTGGGATTACTTACAACGGGCATTACACAGCATATTGCAAACACCTATAGAGTGGCACGTGGTATGATTACAACGATTTACACGTGTCCTCAATTTCACCAAAATCGCTTGTGAGTGATGAGCATATGTCCTCTTTTATGAACAGGAGGGAACGAAGCAGCAACTTTGAGGTGATTTTTTCCTCTTGTTTCTTTCTTTTATGAACTTGATTCTCTGAATTGATTTATATTTCATGATTGTGTTTGTCTTTTACTGAATTAGTAATTGAACTACTCAGTAATAGACAATTAAACTGGTATCCTCGGCAAAGAGAGCTGGTTTTCATCTCATCTCATACAACAGTCTATAATGATTCAGATCCTATTAACTATCAACAATGACGAAGGATTGCTATGTTATGAAAATGTATACATGAAAACCAACTCCACAACAGAGCTTCGATTCACATTATAAGCGGTTAGGATATATAGGTAGAGATACCTTGCTGACACCAATGATCGCTTATGGTGCAATTGCTTGGTGGCCGAAGGCTTTACAGAAAACGGCCCAAGCGAAGCACTCTGGCTTACGAAGACAGGCTTGTCTGGCTATCAGTGGTGCCTTCAGTACCACACCGTCAGCGGCCATGGATATCCTTCCAAATCTAACTCCTCTCCACTTTTTTCTGAAGAGAGAGGCTAGATGGACGGCATATGGACTTGTGCACATTGCCAATTGCACAAATCAATTCAATGCAGAATGCAAGAGACTGTTGGTTGACATTGGAAGTCACAGCATTCTGAAAATGACCTCTGACTTCATGCCTCCACCTGTCAACTACGAACTGCCTTATAAAGTACTATTCCCCAGTAGAGAGGACTGGATCATCCGGGAGAAGGAAATATTAAGAGCAGATAGTTGTTGGTTCACAGATGGATCAAAAACACCTTTCGGTTCTGGTGCAGGTGTTTTCAGTCGCAGACCCAGGATAGGGTTATCTACCTGCCTAGAAACTTATGCAATTGTATTTTAAGCGGAAATTTAGGCTATTGAATTGTGTGCGGAGATACTGGATAATTCCAACCTCATACACAAGTTAAAAATATTCTGGACAGTCAAGCGGCGTTGGAAGTTCTTGGCTCCTACCGACCAACATCTAAATTGGTAGCATACTGACAAAAACGACTCTCTTCGATAGGAAGACTTAACAGATTGTCTCAGGTCTGGATTCCTGGCCATACTGGCCTGGAAGGCAAAGAAGCTGCTGACTCTCTTGCAAAGGAGGGTGCTGCAAATGGCTTCATTGGACCAGAACCTATCATTGGCATCGCTTTGGGCTTTGCCAAACAAACACTGAACACCTGGATGGCAAGAAGATTCATGGACTTCTGGCAGAATCTTCCAGGATTGGCTTACTCCAAGGCGTTCATTCATCCTTTAAAGCTTGATTCCAAACAGTTGTTGGACTACAGTAGGGATGAACTACGATTTCTAACAGGCCTTCTTACAGGTCACTGTCATTTGAATCATCATATGCAGAGACTTGGACTGTCAGAAGACTGTCTGGAAAATTATGAAACAGAGCATATAGTTTATGCCTGCCCTGCTGGGGACCGAATCAGGTTCTTTGAGTTCGGCAGATCCGTACTCTCACCATCTTACATGAAAGACCACTCACCATACATTTGGCGGAGTCTCTGAAGTTGATGGAAGACTTCAATCCGCTTGAAACGCTTCTTCTCAGAAGATGAAGATGGTCTGACCACGTGTAGAAAATTGGTGGACGAACATCTCGAATCATTTGGATGCTGTCCGTTTATTTCATGGTTGTATTTTTTCTATTACCAGGTAACGAGATCATTTTGGAATTTAGATAGACATGCAATCATTGAATGTAAAAAAGCACTCATTGGAACATCTTTCTGCCCGAGAGGATGATTAACACAATTTATATTCGACACTGTCGGAAATAATTTTCCGACTAGACATGAAACTGCGATTACCTTGACGAGCTGTGACAAGTGGTCCATTGTGTCATTGATTGATGATGCCGGAGATATTACGAAAAAGTATAGCGGAAAAATGTTCGTGGGAAAAGTTAATAACATGTGCTAGTCGTCTCCACTTGAATACAAATAGCAGAATTTGGCTCAAGTTATTCATAGCACTCAACTTACACTATACGTTCAGCTTCAAATTCAATCAAATATATCATTGATTCGTGTCTCATTTTAATATTTTTGAAAAATACTGCATAGTGAAACACATCAACATCCAATAACTCATCATATATGATGAAAACAATAATGAATTATTTTTCAGGAATTAACAAAATTGATCCAAGCGATGAAAATGATACAAAGAAATAGGAAAGACGAATGTTCCAGAGATGTATTTCCATTCCAGTGTTTCATTTTTTTTAGTCTTGTTTGTCACCTAATAAAAATTTTGAAACTCAATGTCATGTCATTCATCAAACGAATATATTCTTCCTGAAAATCGTTCCTAATATTGAAGCCATAAATAAAACAAATCACTGTTAATTACATACTTGCTACTTGTATTTTGATTTCTTTCATCCGTCTCACTTATGTATTTTTTCCAAATCTCCTTATATTTCATTTATCAGATTTACCTGATTATTATATGAGGTAACATTGTGAAATTAATTTAAGACAACCAAAACCCAGGTATAGTTCAAGTAAACGATACAGCGCCTCCTACCTTCCAGCAGTGGACTAATTCGTTGCGGCATAATTCCTTTGTATTGGTTTTTTTGGCCTTTGACTTCGCCGACACCTTCAAGATTACTATATCGGTTACTTCGACTATATCTAGCAGAGATATCTATGGTATAAATAAGAACAACATTGTATGTTTATTCAGCTTAACCTTCCTCTTGAAATGATCACTTGGTGATCGAAACACGTGTCGAGGTGTTGGGATGAAACTCTAGTGATATTCAAGTCTCCTGAAAACAGCACTACAGCCTCTTGAACGTATTGGGTTCGTTCTTCCATTGTTTCATTACAATGATTATCATTGCCGTAGTTTGTGAAGGAGTTTTGTAAGATCATTATCATATTTTTCTGCACAGAGTTTGTTCTTCCATGAATTGCTCAGCTCTTGTGAAACAGTGCCTCATGGTCATATCATGTTTTTCCTTCCACTGTATACCTTTTCCCTAGTTTGTGAAGGTATTTTGTTGGATGTTTGTCATATTCTTTCGCACAGAGTTTTGTTTTTCCAGAATTTGCTCAACTCCTGTAAACCAGTACCTCACATTGGTACCTGTCTCAATCTTTTCATTGCATTATTTGCAGATAAGGTCTCTTTCAAAACTTTATATTTCGTTCAGATGTTTAGTTTTCATCAGGTGATATTTTTAGCCAAGTTTTTCAATATTTTCGACGGGGGGTTTCTTTTTGAGGGTTTTCTCGTGTATTTTCTCAAAAGTGTATTATTGTTCTCGTTCCTTTTCGACTCATTTCCCAACAATGTTTAGAAATAATAATTCAAGTTTATTGAGTTGATGATCCATTTATCTTTCAATTTAATGTCTTTTCTGTCCTTTCACCCAGTATGGAAACAACTCACTTCTGTTCTGTTCTTGGGTACAACATTGCCCTGAGTGCTACCTGGTTATCTGTAAGATTGGATCTAACTTGACTCATTCGTATGCTTTGAAAATGGACTCAATGAAAGCTAACTCATCAAGACGTGTGTGTGAGTGCACTCACTGATACAGCAAAGTTGAATCAGAATAATTTCAACTAGAAACAATAGAATCACATGGGTGATCATATGTTTAGAATGAGTCTGTATCCGGGGTTGGTTTACCTGATGACCCTGAAAGAACTGATTGAAAAACTGTCACCTGAACACATTTGAGAGAAGAACAATACAAAAAAAACAGACAGAAACTGACCGTCACCGGCAGCAGGAGGTTGAATATCTTAATGATGATCTAGAAGTAACCTATTACTCTAAAAAATGAATTAAAGGAGGAAATTAACAATCCACAAGAATTTTCAAACCTTTTCGTTAAACATTATTCATCTTCTGCCGAATTGCTCATCTCAGAGCACTTTGGTCAAAATGTATTACTTCCCTGTACCTATTCGAAGAATAATGTTAGTCAGTATCCCTTCGATACATCCCCATTCACAAAGACAGAAATTCTAGGTACTCTGGAAACAATGGCAAATAAAAACTCCGCAGGTACTGATAGTATCTCAATAGTTACTGTGAAAAAAATTGTAGACCTTATAATCGAGCCACTATTGTTTTTGATGAATCAGTCATTTTTTGTAGGTTGTTTTCCAAATGTATTTAAAACGGCTCTCATATTTCCTCTAAATAAAAAAGGCGACAAAACAGAGGTAGACAACTACAGACAGATATATTTACTTTGTTCTCTCTCTAAACTGTTTGAGAAAGTTGTTAGTAACAGAATTGTGAATTACATGGATCAAAATAATCGTTTTAGTAATAACCAATATGGCTTCAGGAAGAACAAATCAATTGAATCAGCTTCATACCATTTATTAAATTTCATTTATACACAGGTTGATTCGAATAAACTAGTTGTAACACTTTTTTTCGATTTGTCAAAAGCATTTGATACCATTTCTTCCGAATTTCTTATAATTAAACTTGCAGGCCTAGGTTTCCCAAATAATCTATTGAACTGGGTGAAATCAAATGTACCAAAGTGTCAAATAAATAAATAAATAAATAAATTTCGAATTGGGGTGGAATCAACCAAGTGCAATTCAATACCAAAAAAACATGTCTCCGAACCATATGCATGTATAATAATGTCAGGACAGACAAGCCCGCTTTCTGCTTCGATAAATTTGTTGGGGGTCAAAATGGATACCCATATGTTTTGACACAATCTTGTCGCTGGAATTGCGAAGGCTGCCTCTCAAAAACTTGGAACACTGTTCCGAACCGGAAAACTGTACACATCTCAGCAACTTTGATGCTTTATGAAGCTCAGATTTGACATTCTTTGAAGTATTGTTCTCATGTATCGAGCTCCGCCCCTAAACATACCCTGAAACTGCTGGATTCCATCCAGAAAAGAGCCATATGCCTGATTGGTGACGCGAACATCACTTGCAATCTTGATAGTCTGGAACATCGAAGAAAGGTTGGGAATGTGTCTCTCTTCTATAGATACTTTCTTGGGAAGTGTTCAAGTGACTTGGCACATTTGATTTCACCAAGGTACGTTTCAGAAATACGCAACGGACTGGGGCTACTCATGGTTCTGAGGTTCAACTCAGTACACCTCGAACTTCACTGTTTAAGAATTCTTTCATTTGGAGAAGCGTGTTTATGTGGAATAAACTTTCTGAGGAAGTTTTTCCAAATGTATTTAATATACAGCGATTCAAATTCAATGTGAATCACTACTTTCGCACAGGTACTGCTCTAAGAGCGCCTTAAAGATTTTCCTGTGGTGCTTGTGTTTTGTTGTTGAAAAAAAAATAAAAAAGGTTATGCTTTGAACTAACATCAACCGCTTCGACTCATAAAACTATCTAGACATTGCAACCTCTGGGAGGACAAGTTGAAATCAGCGATCACATATTCACTCTAACATCGTGACATCGAATTAACTGAAAATTTGGAAGATGGTGTGATTACAGTTCGGAGACTGCAGAAATTACATATTTGCAATGTTCATATTACACCAAATCATGATACAAGTTTAATAGAATATATCCAACGTTGTCCACAAAATATTCTTCATCACATTTACTAACAGGATATCACAACTCGTAAAATTATATTGAAATCGATAGTTTCAGCATATATGCAATAAAATTGGATGAATGAATTGAAAGTAGCAAAAGTGGCAATTTCAAAAAATAGCTAATTGTGCGTATGTAGGCACATCGACGTTTCTTGTGAATATAAATCATGAACTAATGTAATATAATAGTATATTATGCAACGATCATGTAATGATGGTTATTAAGACACGAGCATTAACCGGGATACGAAACGAGCCGAAGGCGAGTTTTGTATGGTTTATGCGAGTATATTAATAACCATTACATGAGAGTTGCATACGCTATTTTTTCTAAACCCGATAAATAATGAAAAACTATAAATATTATATTTGTATTGAACACATTTACAGTAATTAACTCATATTTTTTTAAAAAAACACAAACTTAATGGTATTATCATGGATATATGAAAACTATAAAGATTCTAATTATATTTATATTGAATATAACAACTGTAATTAATCTGATCTTTTAAAAATATTGGAGTCGATGGTATTCCTTCTATATCGCTGTTTTCAGACATTTTGATAATATAGGTAGGTAATATGAAAACTGATTTTGACAAATAAAGCAATTAGTTACTTAGGTTAGAATCTAGGACAAACAAAGGAACAGGATTCTTGATTGAAAAATTATGGGTTTCTATTGGTTGATAATCTGTATCGTTATGAAAAATCTGTATCATAATGGATATCATTATGAAACGGATTATGGTCATATAAGTGTATTGTTAGAGTACGGGTGTAGAAAAAATGAAATTATGAAGATAGCTAGTTGCTAGCGATCACAAAACCATTTTGGAAGCAATTTGGATAGATTTACTAAAACGGCATTCAAGGAAACATTATAAATCACAATAATGAACAAATCATTGTACAATTTACAATGTAGGAGACACGTATCAGAATGACAAGTATCAGATTGATTAACATAAATACATACTTCAAGGTCAGTTCAACCCAAAAGTATTAAAAATATCCCATTCAAAGTATTTTCAATTATAATGAATGTTTAGGTACAAGCATGTCGCTGGAATTGCGAAGGCTGCTTCTGAAAAGCTTGGAACACTGTTTTGAATCAGAAAACGGTACACACCACAGCTTTATCAAGCTCAGATCAGACATTCTTTGGAGTATTGTTCTCATGTATGGAGCTCCACCCCTAAACAAACTCTGAAGCTGCCGGATTCCATCCGGAAAAACCTTCCGCGTGATTGGAGACACAAACATCACTTGCAACTTTGATAGTCTGGAACATCTAAGAAAAGTTGAAGACTTGTCTCTCTTCAATAGATACTTTCACGGGAAGTGTTCAAGTGAATTGGCACGTTTGATTTTACCAAGAGCGGTACATATCAGAAATACGCGACGGACTGTGGCTGTTCATCGTTTTGAGATTCAACCCAGTACACCTCAAACTTCACTGTTCATGAACTCTTCCATTTGGAAAACTGCGTTCACGTGGAATGAACTTCCTGAGAACGTTTTTCCAACTGAATTTTATTTCCAGCCATCCAAATACAACGTGAATCGCTATTTTCTCACAGATACCGCTCTTAGAGCGCCGTAAGAATTTTCCTGTAGTGCTTGTATTTTGTCCTTGAAAAAATATCACTATTTTGAAACAAGTTTTTCAATGAGTGACTTTAATTT